GGTGGGGGGCCAGGCGGGGGGGGGGGGGGGGGGGGGGGTCCAGGTAAGAAAGGGGCATGGCAAGGGCCCCTAGGAGACATTTCAACACTCCTCACATGCAGGTCCTCCTTACAGGACTCCTGTGGAACCTCCCATCATCAATTAAACTTGCCCACTGCTTGGCATGGACTTCCACATTGCTGCTTTTCTGGGTGCCTGGACTGAGATCTGCACTCTGTACACCCCTGGGGGTATACAGGAAACTCATGAAGACAAGGAAACTCTCTTAAATTGTTTTTTTCCAAATATTATAGTATACAAATAATCATACACTGCTGGTATCAGCAGTGTCCAGATGCTTGGGATGGAATTAATTAAAACTTATTTCCACCTAGAAAAATTAAACAAAAAACGCCTGGTATAATGTCCTTAAACATTAGGGAAATTTATTTAAGATAACAAATACTCTTATTTTTATGTTAATTTTGCTTTTCCTTAGTAACCATCGCATCATAAAACTACCTGGCAGGGTGATCACAGCATCTTCAAAGCTACTCCATATCCTAATACAGATGGCATAAAATGATACCCAGCACATGACCTGTATGCCAGATGTGGTCTGTGGAGGTGGATCATTTAGCTCATAAGGCTTCTCTTTGGCCAGACTATATATCTCTAGATCTAGTCCACAGGGCTCCTTGTCATGGCTCCCAAAGCTATTGTGCTGACACAGCCAGCACCCAGGGAGTTAATGCTGCCACCTTTTCCCTACCACCCTGTTACATGCTGCACAATTTCTAGTTTTTGACTGTGCTTGGCATGCAATTCAGAAGCAGGGCAATGTGGGTGGCATTGGGGGAGGCACTGAGGGCCCAGAAGGTAAAGGAGATGGGCGTCCATGAGGGATGGTCGTACCTTAAGGGGATGATCCTCCAGGCCCAAAGGGTAACAGTCCCTGAGAGAAGCAAGGGGGGTAAGAGTGCTCAGAAACCCCCTTGGCTCAGCAAGGGCATTCAGCAATGCCTGAGGACAGCAATGCCTGAGGGGGGTGTACGACCAGTGGAAGGGAGGGGCTATCACCAAGGAGGAATACTCCTCCTTGGCCCATGAGTGTAGGAGGGCTATTAGGAAGGCAAAGGCAGAGATGGAACTCAGGCTAGCGTCCAGGATTAAGGACAACAAAAAGTCCTTTTTCAAGTACATTGGGAGCAAGAAGAGGGCACCAGGCAAGACTCAAATGGTAACCTTGTGGCTACGCCGGACAAGAAAGCCGATATTTTTAACAGTTTAACAGTTTCTTTGCCTCTGTTTTCCTGAACAGGGACTGAGACATCCCTCCTACTAGAGGTAGGGACAATCTCGGGGATAGCTCTGTCAGGCCTTGGGTCAGCGCAGATGTAGTTAGGGATCTTCTGGAAGGTCTACACATTTTTAAATCTGCAGGTCCAGGGCTCGGTCCTCGGGCCCGCACTGTTTAACATCTTCATCAGCGACTTGGATGAGGGGGTGGAAAGCACGCTGTCCAAGTTTGCTGATGACACTAAGATGTGGGGCAAGGTGGACACACTTGAAGGGAGCGAGAGGCTGCAACTAGATTTAGATAGACTACAAAAGTGGGCAGACGAGAATAGGATGGGGTTCAATGTAGATAAATGCAAGGTGCTGCACCTTGGGAGAAGGAATCCACAGCATACATACAGGCTGGGGAGTTCCCTTCTTGAAAGTACAGAGGCAGAAAGGGATCTTGGAGTCATTATTGACTCCAAGATGAACATGAGCTGCCAATGCCAGACCACAGCCAGCAAGGC